ATATATATATATATATATATATATATATATATATATATATATATATATATATATATACATTTAGGATATATGTATAAAATTTACATTTATTCATATATTTGTATCTTTTATTTTGTAGTAATTATTATAAAATTAATAATTTAAAATAATGATATTTATAAGAATAATAATAATAATATATTTTTAAACAGCATTAATGTTAAAAAAACGATTAACAATCTTAGTTTTCTTATGATTTATCGTCATATGCTATGAAAAAGATAGTTATGAAATGGGAAAAAATAGACATGAATACTAATTGATCGATACAAAACTATAAATCCTAAATAGTACGATACTGATAAATAACTGTTAAAATATAATCAATATAAATATTTAATTTTTAAAGTTAGGCTTTAAAGTTATATGTACATTTTTTTTATGATTCATTCTTGTCAACATATTTTATTGGTGGAAAAATATTAATATAATGTAATATATATAATGTTAAAAAGAAGATTGTTATATCTTGTTAAGATCAATTGTCACATTTATGATCCAAATTGATCTGAAATGGCGGTATATATTCTATATCTAATGTTTTTTTTTACTCTTTTCTCGTGAGATTAGAGAAAACTAAATATCTCGCTATTAGCTATCTTCTCTGTGGCAATCAATGTGTCAATCCCGTTTTAATATCTTTTTTATCATTCTTTTCTTTTTGTTTGTGTTTAGGTGGTCGCTGCGTAATGAAAATGGACCATCATTGTCCATGGATAAATACATGTGTTGGACATTTCAATCATGGACATTTCACAGCATTTTTAGCGAGTGCGGTCGGTGGTTGTTGCGTATCCTCGATTATATTAATTTCCTGGGTGGCAAACGTATTATCTCTCAAGCCTTTACCGTTTCCACCGCCACCAGTTTACACATTGATATTAGTAGTATTTAGTATTGGTTTATCAATCGGCGTTGTACTTGCAGTAGGAATGTTGCTATATTTTCAAGTAAATGTTTACAATTTTTAATAATATATTTAAATAACGTGTTAAATGATGCATTAATTCTATGATTTTTCAAATTATATAGATGTTGGCCATCATAAGAAATCGAACAGAAATAGAAGACTGGATTTTAGAAAAATCCCGATATCGGCGAGATGATACTGATACTAAATATGTACATCCGTATTCGAAAGGATGGCACTTCAATATTAGTCAAGTTCTTACATGGGATTGCATTCCTGTCGGTGATGGTATTACATGGCCCGTTATTGATGGCTGTAATCAATATACATTAACGGTAATTTTATTTTTATGCAATGGTGTGTATAATAAGTATTAATTAATGAATATTTGTGACACAATGATCTTTACAATTATTTATACAGTATTGTTACTTTGTAAAAGCTGTAATTATAATATGCTCATCATTGTTCTGTAGAGAGAGCAGCTTGCGCAAAAATTAGATAAACGGAAAAGAGCGCGTAGATATAGAATTATAAAAGCTACATCAGGATCAAAATTTCCAATTGGGCATGGTTTTGGTGTATTTTTTCATCCACTTTGTACCGATGAGCCTCGCATTAAGTTGGACATAGATGATATTGTAGTTGTCACACGTTGGAAAAAGTGTGTATTAAATAGCTTATATTTGATATTAAACAAATTTTTAAAAATATATTTCTTTAAATAATTTGCTGCTTGACAAAAAATTTTATTTCCTGCAGATATTGGCTGTTTGGAGAAAAAGAACAGAAGGATGGAGAAAATACGAAACGTGTAAGAGGATGGTTGCCGCGACCCTGTGCAGTAGAGGTAATAGAAAAATCTGTATGGCTCAAATAATTTGTCCAAAGATGATTAATTTTCGAAAATATATATGACAATATTGTTGCAAATATGAGAAATTATCATACTTTTTCATTTTTTTATATCATTTTTTTATAGTATATAAAGTTGAAGAATGTGTGTGACTTACAAACGAGAAAGATTATATATTCCATACCTATTTGTGTTCATATTACATTTTTCTTGTATATATTTACTTTAAAGCGTAGATTAAGACATATTTGCCATGTTATATACACATAGATATACGAATTTTTCCTTATTCATATTCTGGTAAGTTCTTAGTGTAATAATTTTATACAATAATTTTATACATGTGATTAAATAAATATATACACATATATATATATATATATATTTATTTATTTATTAAAAAACATAATATATAATATAAATATGAAGTTTTAATAATAAATCTTGTTTTATAATGAAAAATATTTCAAATTAAAAGTATTGTAAATCGTTAATATAAGTTTTTTATCAACTTTTCCTAGATAATAGTATATGTATTAGATGAAACTTGTGCGTAATTTAGATTATAGAAAACATTTATAATGTGAATTTAGGAAACAAATAGATACAAATAAAACGTTTGATAAAAACTTCTTATGATGCGATTATGAAGTAATCTGAAAGAAATATTTGTAGTACCTATACAGTCGATAGTCTGAAAAGGCCGTGGAAAATCAATAATGACTGTGTGAAAAGTCACATTGACTTAGAGAACTCTTCATGCACATACGTGTAAAGTATGTCTATGTATATTAATGTATGTATGTATGAATGTGGAACGTATGCACGCTTTTGCATTATGTGCGCTCGTTCGAAAGATTCGACACGCAATACAATTACTTGACATGAATACACAGTGTTTATTCATATTATTTTATTCATCCTAATCGAACGTGCAATAATAATATATGTATGATAATAGTCGGATTAGTATTCACACGCAAAAGAATATTGCATAAAGGTCAATGTTATGATTTCAGATATGATGAATTTATGTGTACAGTGTTACGTTTAATATTTAATAATCGACAGTGAAAGGATATCATATTAACGACTCGCGAAATACATAATCAAATTCAACAACTCGATTAGTTGCAAGTTCTTACCATATCCAATAAATCAGTCAAAGATATGAAATGCTAAAAATTATATATACAAAACGAATATCTTGCGACGAAAACTGTAAACGTCGTTTTGTCGAAATATAATTATTGAACATTTTTAAATCCGTTTTTACAATTTTATCTATTTTATTTAACTTTTATAAATTTCTTTCATCCATTCGCTCAAGATTTTAGAGTTTAATATAGTAATATGTTTTCTCTCTCTCTCTCT